ATATGCATGATTTTCTATGAAAATGGCATAACAAATAGAATTTCTTAGTACATTTTTCCTTTTTTATCTTCTTGCTTTTTTCTCCACAGGATACACATCTGTTCGGACTTTTCTCTAAACTCCTGTAATGTTATACATACAATGTACATATGAATATTATGGTTACTGTTTATTTTCCCAAAGCGGAACTGTGTTATACACACTTAACAGCCTACTTTTTTGCAACATAGCCTCATAAAATCCCCCAAGTCACTGGGTAGGTGATTTTGTTTCAATGACTACAGAATGAAAACTGTGCCCTCCCACCCCCCATCCCTGGCACTGCTCCCTAGTGTCAGACTAGGAGCACAGAACATTTAAAAAAAAAAAAAATAGTGACAACACAAAACCACAGTTTCTTGTTTTGGCAAGCAGAGCTCCAATGAGAAGAAGAGTTTTGGTCTCCTACCCCCAAAAAAGCAGAACCAAAGAAAGCATTCTGGGAGCTTTCTGCCCACGCCCCCTGACCCTCGGGGACCCAGGCCCAACCCAGCCGGTGGGGCAGACCCTCTGGGTCTGAGACTGATAGATCTCTGTCCTCAGCCAAAGGAAGCCCTTGCGGGGGGCTGCTGACCAACCCCCACCCAGGAGTCTCTTCCCACCACTGCCCAGCTGGCACACCCATCACGGGACCCATTGGCACCTGTCCCTGAGACATCCCCCCTTGCAGGCAGGGACTCCAAACCAATCCAACCAAGGGGCAGGTGGGTCCAAGACTCACTCAGCCTCCTCTTTAAAGGGCAACCCTTTGAGCCCCAAACTGACAACTTCATCTGCCCCCCCTCCCATTGCAGCAAATCCTTCAAAAAAAACCACAACAGCATTCTAAACACCTACCTTGTGCCTGGCACAGTTCTGAGGCTTTAACCTCAGGCTCATTCAAGTTTTACGACACCCCTATGACCCAGGTGCTAGACTATGCCTATGGTACAGATGGGGCAGCTGAGCCACAGGGCAGGTTGGTGACCCACCCAGAGCCACCTACAGTCGGTGTGAGTAAAGCCAGGATTTGAACGTCGGCAGCCTGGCTCCAGAGCCCCACACTCAACCCTCACGCTGCCAACAGACACGGAATCCAGAGGAGGAACCCAGCAGCCTGACATTTCCATTCCACAGTCCCAGCCTTTCTGCAGAAAAGACAAAAATAGTCACGGAGGGGAACTAACTGAAGGAGGCACAGGCAGAGGGTCAGGGCCACACAGACCTGGGGTTGAAGCCCAGTAGGGAAGCTCACTTAAACTATCTGTGCCTCAGTTTCCTCATCTGTCAGTGAGGATCACAACAGCACCCCTTTACAGGGGTGCTGGGAAGATCGAACGAGTTGATACAAGCAAAGTGCTTAGAATAGTAAATGATGAACCTGTGTCAGCTCCTATACAGTAACAACTGTCATTGCTGTTATTATCATCAACACTGCAGAGCACACAGGGAGCACCCAACACAGCTGGGGCTCCTCAACGCTGAGATTCAAGCTTCAGAGTCAGAAGCCAGGCAATTTCTCCCATAACCTCTGTGGTGTCTCCCAAGAGAGATCCAGCATCCCTACGAAAGGGCTGTCCTTGCCTTTCCATGACTCTTAAATAAACATACACAAAACACGGCACCAAAGTCCTCAGTCCCCCTTGGAGATGGGGAGGGGATACAATCCAGTTCCTGAAGGAAGCGGGGAAAGATGGGGAGATTCTGGAGGAAACACAGGGTCCCAGGCCCGGAACCCAACAAAACCGCTGGTTCCTGTGGCCAGAGTTTAGACGGTCAAAAGGAAATTCACTCAGAGTCCCTGTCCTCCTTTCAGTGCTGACTCAGATCTCACTTCCTCCAGGCAGCCCTCCCTGACCACCTCTGCTCTTTGGATGCTGGAATCCTATAACCCTACTCACCTGTATTATATAATTATAACATAACATAATAATTAATGATAATAACTAATACTTATATACCTTACTTCCTGGCAAGGCACTGTTACAAGTGCTTTATTTTTTTACTTTTTTAGGCGAGGCAATCCTTGGTTGACCTCACAGATTGCAAGGACCTTATCAGCTTACGATCCCTTATTTATTTTTATGCCTACAGCACCTAGTCTTCCTAGGTGGTCTCCCATCCAAGTACTAATCAGGCCCGACCCTGCTTAGCTTCCGAGATCAGACAGGATCGGACTTGTTCAGGGTGGCATGGCCATAGACTTGCAAGTTTTTAAAAACAGTCCTGAGGTTGGAGACATTACAATCTCACTTACCTCTTAAAAACTCTCTAAGATAATATCTATTATCATCCTCCATTTTACAAATGAGGAAAGTGAGGCTCAAAAAGGTTAAGCCACTTGCCTTAGGTCACAGAGTTCAAGGACATGATTCCAAGCAGTCTGGCTCCAGAGCCCGGCCTTGTACTTAATTCATAAAGCCCCATTTTGTCACCTTCATGAGACTGTCCTCTCCTTGAGTGCAGGAACTTAGACCTGATTTTTCTGCACCTTCCACAATGCTCCGTCTACACAAAGACTTCATTTCTTCCGGTAATGGAACCTTAAAACCAGGGACACACGGAGGCTGGGGCAGCCCTTGCAGGCCTGCCTCTGCCACATGGACTTAAGAGCAGGGAGGGATTATTAAGCATTCTTCCATTCTCCCAAGCCAGGAGGCACAGGGGAAAATCCCTTAGCAAGTATAAAGGCTGAGAGGAGAGACTGGGAAGACAGAAGAGAATCACAACCTGCAGTCTGCCAACCTCACTGCGTGGAAAGCCTTGGTAATTAGCAGTTCCTGAAGCTCTGAGCCCTGGGTTTTCAAAATGAAAAGGCCTTGGCTTGTTCAGGGGCCATTTCTGATGGAGCAAAACAGGAGAGGCCTTCTGCGACTCACAAACAAGGTATGGCTGGTCATGTTACACAATCAGTCTTGTTTCTGGCACCAGCTTGGGGACAGCCAAAAGGACAGGCAGAAGGGAAGCCTGGATTCCCCTCCCCCTAGTTTTACAGGTGGAGAAACTGAGGCCAGGACAGGTGCCATGACTGGTCCATGATGTCAAAGTTGGAACCAGCTCATCACAGAGCTGACAAGTCAATCCAAAAAAAAAACAAACAAACAAACAAACTCAGCAAATTAAAAGTGCCAAGGAGATAATGTAGAAGTAGAGAAATTTTTTTCCCTTATTTCTTTAATAATAAGAATGGTTGATTCTAATCAATTTCCATTATTCCAGCTTCCTCAGTCTCTACACATGGACAATTAAAAACCACAGTTAACCCAAACGCATTCTGTATCTGGTCTGAAATGCACCCACACCATCTAGGGCAAGGGCTTTCTTTCCCATTAGTATAAAAATTGGTTTGTCTTTCCTCTTTCTCTTTCAGACTGAGGAGCAGGGAGTGGCTCAGAAAGAGAAGTAAGGAGTTCCCTAGAATTTGACATTGTTCAGAGATGTCAGGGCTGTCTACATCTTTAATTCAGGAACTGCCAGCTTCAAACTGAGCAGATTCTTTTTTTTTTTTTTAACTGTGAGAGAGGGCGAGATGGGGGAAAAAAAAAAAATGCTAACCCTGCCTTATTCTTACAGGCCTTTCTAAAAAGGTCCTTTAGCCAAATGGTTTTCAATGCCTGTACAACTCCCCCCACCCTCCAACACACACACACACACACACACACAACCTCTTTTCACGAGATAAGGGCTCTTTTCTCCCTGAGTTAGAACTCGGACCTCGCACAGCCTCAGCTAACCCCTCAAGTTACTGGGGGACCCCAGAGGATGCCAGAGTCTCCCTCTCCCCGTCCCCCTAAACCCCCAGAGTGGAAGCTCTGGCTCTGAGGTCTCTAAAGGAACCACCACCGCCCCCACCAGCCCTTCCTGAACTAGGATTAAAAGACTTCCTAGAGCAGAGAAGGGAGTAAATGAGGTCCCAGCAGGAGGCACGGAGATTAAAGGCTTCGAGTCTCCTAACTTCCAGCAAGGCTGGGCCCGACCCACCCCCTCCTCCCCAGCCACTTTTCTCACTTCCTAGGAGAGTAGGGAAGCGGCCCCTTCCTCCCTCTAACAGAAAAGAAGAAGCAGCAGAAGAAGAAGGAGGAGGAGGAGAAGATACGCAGCATAGGAATGTGGTTTAGAGCACCAGCTGGGCCTGCCCTAATTCAAAAGCCACTGTCCCCAATTAACTACCTGTGTGATTCTGGGCAAGTTACTCAACCTCTCTGGAACTAAACTCTCCCATCTAAAAACTGGGGGAAATACTCGTCCCTACTTCATGAGCCACTCGTGGAAGTTAAACCTTCTAATGACACATGTAGGCGCCTGCCACACAGTAAACGCTCAGTTATTTTACAGTCTGTCGCGGTGGTTTTGCAACTTGGAGGTGGGGGAGCGGGGACTGGACTGCCGAGTCGTGCGTTCGAGCTCCACGCTCCCCAAGCTCCAGCAAAAAGTGCGTGCGTGGGGACCAGGGTCCTCCTCCGGAGTTTTGTCGATCTCCGTCCCTCCTGTGGACTTTGAGTTTTGTCCTCCTCGGCGCGGAGGGACACTGGGCTTCTAGCATTTCCAGGGTCCGCCCTGGCTACAGAGCTGGTGATGTTCTGGGCGGCGAAGGAAACCCGCGAGAAAAGAACGCAGGAGCTAAAGCTCCCGGCGCCTGGGTCCCAGAGCCCCTGCCTCGCGGATGTAACTAATTTAAAAACTATTCGAAAGGCCCCGGGGAGGGGGGGAAGAAAAAGACAAAAGGGCAGCGCGCCGGGTGGTGGCGGGGTCCCGAGTGCGGGAGTCCCCAGGTCAGGGCTGGACTGCGGGCCCGCCAGGGAGGCGACAGCCCAGCACTAGAGAAGCCCGGGTCGCCTCACTTCTCCGCGCGCCCCACGAGGCGCCCTTGAGGCGACTTCTCGAGACCCCCCGGGGGCCGCGGCCACAGGTTGTGGGGACCGACCGCCCCGCTCTGAGGCCCCGGCGCTCCGCTGGCCCCGGGCTCCCCGGGACACACTCACCGACTGCAAAAAGCGCAAGGTGCCCACGTAGTCCCTCTCGGTGCCCAGAATCTCGTTGAGAACGCAGAGGCGAAGGCGCAGCTGGCGCTCCGAATCCCGAGCGGCCGCGCACTGGCCGGAGCTGGGTGCAGCGGCGCCGGGGGCCCGGGGGTCCGGGTGGGCACCTTCCCCAGCCCCG